ATATATGTGCATACATTTTATAAATACACATTAATTTTGCCTACTTCTGATCAAAATACATAACCACTGTAATGTAAAAAAATTAATAGCACTAAATGTAAAAGCTATCCGTAAGATAATATAATGCGCATTGCGCAGGTCTCTTAACGAGTTATGTCGCGTACGTCCTTCTCTTGATCTTTTGTAGCAGATGGGTTTATCGATAACTCAGTTTGCTTTGGCAATTGTTCCTTTTTCCAACAATAAATCACAACAAACTTATCACGATAATGCAAAAGGTGTGGTACATTATTATGATACGTCTATTCAGCAGATAACATATCGTGTTATCTCTGTTAAAGTTTATTAGGAACTATAGTACAACGTCCCTAATGTCCATATCTATTTCTAAAAGATAGTAAGAGCGATTCAAAAGAGAGAGAGTTCGTAGTTTATTTCCAAATTAAAAAATAAAATTAAAAAATTATATTTTAATATAATTTTTTTGTTTTACTAATAAAATACAGTAAACACAAACTATTTATCAATCCGAAACTCTCAATTTAAAAAAGTCTACGAGATTCTCTATTAATAATATTGTATATTGTTATTATAACGCATACATGGAATAATAATAATACGTGTACTACTAATAATAAAACTTCAGATAAATAAAATCGATTTTCCATTCATATTCATTCTCTTCAAAAGCTCATCGTCATGCGTATCCATTAATTCGAGTATTCCTATCAGTAAATCGGAAGATTGATTCTTAGTTACAGGCAATAAGAGCAACGTGCCGGCGATGAACCGCGAACGATAATGCGAAACACATAGCATAATTAACAGCGAGTAAAAGACACGCAAGATGAATACATAAGACCAGTGAGCTTAAGCTTCCCACGCCACACCTTTCGCTACGAGAGCTATTTCGAAATCTGATGTAATAATATTCAATGATAATAAAAATACACATCGCTAGATAAAATCGTTGTCCATCCATTGACTTCTTAAGCTGCATACGATCTTTTCCACGTAATAGTTTCTCGGTATTCTCATCGAATACCTCAACTTTTGTCTTCCACTTCAACACCCACGCGGAATAAGAAGATAAATTTTAATTTAAAATATTACAAACCTAAACAAAACTACGATGTGTATTTTATAAATTTAGCTTTAGTTTTAATAATAAATTTTTCAACAAATTAATCAAATTTCTTCTTTTTAAATAAGAAACTGTGCTTATAATATTTTAATGTTTTAAAATTTAATATAATTAATGTTTTGGCATTTAATTAAGAATTAAATTAAAATTATAGCTAAAAATGTTAACAATAAATTAGATTCTATTATTTGAAATTTATACTTTATTTTCAATTAGAAAATTTTAACTGAAAAACTATGTGAGCAAATTAATTTCAAATTGATCGAAACATCATTAATTGGTGAAGTTTTCTGAGATACTCCGTATATAAGTTGTTTCTCGAATCGGTCGTCACAGTTTAATACTTCTGACAGATTAACAATAAAATGGTTTTAATAAAAGTTTGTTGATTTATAATAAAAAATTGTATTAAAAAATTGCAAATTTGTCTTTTAATAATAGTATAAAAATATACAAAAAGAAAAATGGTTACATTAAAAAAATTTAATTTTAGTTTTTTATTGAAAAATGAATAAATTTGAAATTTTTCGTATTAACTAGAAATTAATTTTATTTATTAAAAATCAACAAATTTTTGTTAGAAACATTTTTGTTGTCAAGCCGTCAAAAGTAGCTAAAAATTTATAACAATTAGAAGAACACCCTATATATAAAATCAAAAAAGCGTCTCGTAGAACGTGATAGAATACGGCAATCTCGAGATAATTATTCACATGTGCGACAATCCCCGTAGTTACACGTCCTTTCCTTTTTACGTAATTGCAACATATACCTTTTAACGAGATGTAACACATTTGTGTGATTAATAACACATTGCTTTAACCGTTACATTGATGCGCTTATATATATCTTAAAAGATTAAAACGCATTTTGTGAAAATTAAATTTTGTAGTAATTAAAATTTGCTTATACATGTTTTTATTGATTAATTATAGAAAAGGAACAGAAAAACTTTATTAGCGCTCGTGGTACATTTCGTTTTATTATGTATGTATATATCCTCGTAACTTCCCTTATAAAATATTTTAATTCTCGTTTGACGCCCATCTTTAAGATTAATTGCAGTAATTTATTCTAGTCGTAAAAAACAGCGATTCAATTTTTTATATTTTATTTATTTTCAAATTTCTATTTCTTTTCAAATTTCTATTTCTTTTCTTTTTGCCTTTATGTTTGTTATTTTTTATATATATAAGATCTTCGAATTCAATTGTGTTGTATAACATTTCGTTTGAAAAAGTACTCACATTGTCGCGCACGCGTTGAACAAAAACGGCGGAAACTCACTGTTACCGGTTACAATACAATCCTCTTAAATCGTTCTGAAGGCCTCGAAAGTGGGTGATCTAGTATTGTGGAGCATATTGCTTCTATCCGAAACAACGACGAGTAAACTCGATAAAGGTGAATCAAGATTTAATCAAGCCGAGCTATACAGACTGGCGTTGAAAATCGTGTAACGTTCAATTAATGAGAAACGATCTTTCTTGCAGCTCCCAACTATAATCACTTCATATGCAATCATCAAATAATTTCGGTGGGTGGATAAGATAAATTGTTATCCACCATTTCTTGAGTCATCTTTATGCAACATCTCATCAATCATTCGAGCATTTTATTAAAATTTTTCGCGAACGTGTGAAAAATTTGATGTAATAAATTAACCATATCATTATAACACACATGTGCGCGATAACATTAATATTTAAATTTAATTACATATATATATATTATATTTTTAGAAAATTATTTTTTATTAAAGTATGTCTATGTGTATAATAAAATACAATAATATAGAAAGTTATAAAAAAATATTTATAATAACGAAATAAATAATTTAATACAATTTAAAGTTATAGAGTAGCAATTAATAAAAACAATTAGAATTTTTGACAAATGTCGCTTATTCTTCACTCATATTTGTATATCTTTTCGATCATTAAAGTGATTAAATGCAACGTAGAGAGTGAAAAACTGCAAAGTCACATTGCAACCAAGCATGAAAAAAGAATCAGTCATTAAGTATGAAGAAAATCGATAATCTGTATAAAAGAACAAATTCTTCTGTTTAACTCAATAAACCATAATCATTTTTTAAAACCATATTATCATTTAATTAGTACGTTAATTTGTTTACTGAGATATTAATATTATACAATAATTAGCGTTTTGTAGACCAACTTATTATCTATTATTATATTTTTTACATATACATATAAAACATTATTTAATCCGTGAGTAAAAGGAAAACGTTATCCTTCTCAATGATCACAGATTGCTTTGATACAATGTTTGTATACAAACTCGCGGTTTACAGATGCATAAGGCTTTTTTATGTTCATTTAGGTAGAGAGATCTCCGATAAAGGGCGAAGAGGAGCAGTTTTAATTTCCAAGGAAATTCAAAGACTGAAGCGCATTCGCGCACAAAGAAGTCTCTGAGTTTGGAATAATAACTATGCCCGTCAGTTATCTCGTAATTCGTCTGCCGGCGAATTCTTCTGGAACGATGTGACGCGCCAGTTCAGAAACTGTACATTAGTTCTATATACGAACGCTTTGCTTTTGTAATTCCGACTGAATATTCAGCATTTAAAGTACGTGCCTCTTGTGTTAATATTAAACGTGACATTTCTGAACAAAGAGAACTTATACTCTAAACGGCTATGTTCAACGATAAATTTATGGTATATATAATTTTAGCTTACGCTCTCGCTTTTTATTTAATATCATTATAAATTCGATCGCTTTCTGAAATTTTGAATTTTATCTGACACTGTGCGTATATCCGAAATATATTTAGATATATTCGTCATTTCAGATGTATACAACGATTTAAAATCACCCAGCTGTGTTTAGCATTAAATGTAAAGGTAAGAAAACAGTCTCTTTATATGCGCTCTAAATGTGGAATCAATGTTTGGTGACAGCCATGTTTACGCACATGTAAATTATGGACGCTACATTTAAAAGATACACTTTTGTCGCATTGTGTCGTACTGCGACATAATGATGACCTCGCTTTCAGCTTTAGAACAGTCAGCTTACACCTCAATATCGAAATAATGCGAACAAAGGTAAAATCCGCAAAAATTGCAGAAATTCCTTTTTTTTTTTAATTGGCAAAATGCAAACCTTTTATTTCTCTCTACACAAAATTAGTATAAATAAATTAGTATAAATAAAAGTTATTTTTATTTTTAACATAAAATTAGTTTACTTTTTTCTTTAATGTATTAAATATGTGAATCAAACAATGGATACATAACATAAATGAAAAACTTTAACTTAAAATCGATATCTTTTCAAGTGATTAAAATACAATAGCATTACATGTGTCATTTGTTCCAAATTGTTAAAAAATTAAAAAGAAATGCATTTTTTTCTTTACAATTTTTAAATATCAAATGCAACTTTTCCACATTTTTTGAAAATTTAACATACTAATTTAGTATTACAAAATATTTGTCACGATTAATGCAATATATATAGATCAATTATATTATACACACGAATAAAACATGAATAAAACAAAATATATTGATACACAACTCGCTATATTTTCTCATTTATTCTAACGAGATCATGTACCGTACGTGAAATATCAGCTTCACAAGAGAGGCTGACGTTCTTCTTTTCTGTCAAAAAAAAAAAAAAAAGAAGTGGCCGTAGGTTTAAAAACGTTTCTCAGAAAGCCGAGGCCGGAAGTAAAATAAAGGAAAACATCGCGAATGTAGACGTCGGGATGCCATGTGAAGCTGTGGCTATTTTCTACGAGGGGGCCAAGCTCTTTCTTCAGTAAACTCTCATCGCTTTCCCGCCATGACCCTTCCGATTTCTACTACGAAGCTACTTACCTCACGCTATAGGATCTTCCCGGTTTGGAGGTCATTGCACTGCGGCGGGTGGTTGTGGCAGGGTGGTCGGTGGCGGCGAATCGATTTTCCATGACGGCGACGTGATGTCGTCCGCTGGGAAATGTCTCTTTGTCTTTCCTTGTATCTCTCCTCGCTACGCCTATCGTTGCTTTCCACGCGACACGTGACTACAAGGAGAAGACCAAAGGGAGCATCCTCTTCAAGATACAGGTCGATCGATACTTCGCAAATGTCTCTACATCAACGTCTTCGAACTCGCACCCTTTAAATTGCACTTTGCAGCCCATACACGTAATCCCTTCAAGTTGACTCAAAATTATCTTCGCGATATCTCATGGAGAAGAAATCTAGAAATTTTGACATATAGACGGCATTATCTCGACTCAGTAAATATATGACATGTGAATCTTTCGATGCAAATCATAATTTATCATTCAATGATCCGGAACTAAAAATAAAAGAGAGAAACGTGTCTCTTCCTAAAGTCAGTGTTTCCTCGTGTCACGATTTTTCGTGACGTGAATTCGTAAAGTGTCCTGATATCGGCTTGATATACGTAAACAGTTTTCACAGCAATATCCAATGTCACGGTAATTGTGACGCTACTGTTTGTACGAGACGTTATAGTTGGCTGATGTTCGTTCAAACGTGTTTATTTGTACTTCTTCTGCGTATTTTTTCAATGGCTCTTTCACCTTCTTTTTGTCTTAGATTTGTATTGCGGTTATATTATGGTTCCACTTCGTGATCCCAATTCTGAGAAACAACTGAGCTATACAAAATCTTTTCTGCTGTATGTAGCAATTGTTAACTTGCAGATGAAAGGATTCGTGTGACTGTGATGAATCGATCGGTTTTGATTTCTTCGACAGTCGGTCGAAGACTGCGGTCTCGTTAAAGATTCTTTACAATCTGGAAACACTTTTGTTTTTTACATTCGCAATGAACCTCAGAACCTCATATAAATGCGTAAAACCTCCTGCTATTATATCTTCGAGGTTGACATAAACAAAGTTTAAAGAAAAAAACTTTTTTATCTTGAGTTATTGTAAAAGTAAAACTATTAAAGCACCCGCAAAAACTTTCGGTCAACACTTACAAAACACGTTTCTCGTAAAACATTTAACATAATTGTATATAAATCACATATATTGTAAATATATAATACTTTTTTCATAGTCTAAAAATCATTTTTTGCACAACATACAGTTTTACTGTAATATTAAACACTCCACGCGATAAACATTCTAATATTAATTGTAACGTTCACGTGGTTGTGACTTCTTCAGCATCCACGAACAGAATAAAGTACGAGCAGGCTCGTTCCGACGTCAAGGGGAGAAGCGCGTAAAGCGATCTGTAGTGCCAAGGGGTGACCCTCATATGCCATGCGGTAGCATCGCATTCGTTACTGCAATTCAATGCAACCACCGTGGCTACACTACGTGGCTTGCTTCTATCGACCGTATCGCACTGCGACGAGGAATCGGACTGGTCGTAGAGCCGCGTGCCGCGCAGGTTTCATAAGTATACTTGCGCGCGCGCACGCTCAAGCACAGGTGGGGCCGAATTAGATGCTAGTAAATAATGTTATTTTTCATTTAGCATTTTTCCCAAGGATCTTTTTCGTGTTAATTTTTAAAATATAAATAATAATTAAATTTTATTTCTTTAATAAAACAAAATATAAAATCTCTCTCTCTCTCTCTCTCTCTCTCTCTCTCTCTCTCTCTCTCTCTCTCACATAGTAAATTTTTCAATCGTTGATTAAGACAGAAATATTTATATAATTTATAAATATTGTTATAAATGCAAAATATTTTTATAAGTTTGTTAAAACAATTTTGAAAAAATAAATGAATAAAAATGACATTTATTATATAAAATTTATTACGCGATTCAGTATTCTTCATTAATAAATACGTCTAGAAACTTTTGAAATATCCGTGTTTTTAATTCGTATTAAACATAATAATAAAATAGTATAGTTAAAGCAGAAGAATTGAAATATTTTGATAACATTATTTCTGCTTAGAGTTGTAATAATTTTATTCTTATTCTTCCGGGCAAAACTAACGAATTTAATTTGAATTTTAAATATTCGTTTTGCAATGTTTTTAATGTATTAAAATACTAATTATTTTAAAACATTTAACAATATTTTATCAATATCATTGCATTTTTATTAGTGTACTAGTCTTTTAGCGAACTAGAAGACTAGCAGCAAAAAATTATAATTCTATATTCTAATTTATATTTTATTTAAAAAATTAATATAAAATAATATAATTTATAGAATCATATTTTTAGCTGCTAGTTTTCTAGAGAGTTTGACAAAAAAATATACAGTAGTAAAAAAAGCATCGTGTAAATCAGAACTTTATTCATTAAAAGAAAATTTGAACTTAAGAAAAACCACATTGCTACCTCTCTCTTACATAATTCGCAATATTATCCTTTACATCGTACATTCCTTGAGTTTGCACATATAGTCTTATCGCCGGATCTGTAATATCAAGCTCATTGAGGGCTGACCAATTAACGGCCGCACGCAACGGATCATTGCCCGGATTAAGACCCCGTCGATTGAGTAGATATTTTATCTATCTTAATCAATTTCCGTTGTAATCCACTCTCACGAGACTACGAGTTGTATATATAGTAACTCGTTTTACGACTATTAATTACGGACAGAAGAACAGTCCGAATCGTTTCAATGAGAGACAATCATAATGCGCGCAATAACAATTAACATCGTTTACATCCTTGTTTTATTAAGATACGAACAAGCATGGTATAGTTGACAATATTTAACGATCCGTGACATGATAGCGATACACTTATTAGGTGACGAAAGAGGCCACATTAAACAAATGCTACGTTATAACTACACCATCAGAAGTCTAGAATCTGGCTATTCGCCATATAATTTACACTTAAAACGCAGGATTGTCACAAAGATCAATCGCAATTTCTGCGATACCTATATTGATTGATTTTTACTCACAGGAATTCTTATTTCTGTGATGTCAACATTTACATTTTCCCCTTTTTTCTTCTTTTATAGCAAATTCTCAAAACCAGCAAGAACAATTATATTTAATTTTTTTATTTAAGATAATATTGCTAATTCTTTTTGCACTTTTTATAACAATAACAAAAAAAAGATTAGATAGCATTGTTGCTATGTTTAATACTTAATAAATATAAATTTTTTTTGACATATCCAAATCCTTATATCTCGGATCTAAAATCTGAGGTAATAAATAAGAATAAAAAAAATTTGCTATATGTAAACATAGAAGCATAATTCTATACATGTACATAAATTATATAAATCACATAAATTTCCATGTCAAGTTGTTGCAATATATGCGAGCTTGAAAGTCTATGGAAGAGGCATGATACATGTTTACTCTTGCGACAGGACCCTCGCGAATAATCCTGACAATATAGGTAACGATTTTGCGGGCCGAGTATTCTAAATCGCGTGCAATATGCGACGCGACGGTATGCGCCGAAAACAGCTTTGCCGACGCGAAATTATGTGGAATGTTTCACGAATGAATTTCTTAGGCCCGAGGGGGGTCTCTCCCTCGAACTAGCGGCTCGTGGCGTCAAGCTATTCCAGCTCAGGGGAACAGGGCACGTCGCATAGAGAACTCGCGACATGTGCAAGTTGTCGAGAAAGGTTGGTTAACGGTACGTATAAATTGCTTCGAAACATAATACTTACATAGTAGGTTTATTATAATTTAACTAAAAATATTTGTGTTATATATATAAATAATGAAAAACTAGAAAAGAGCCATAATTGGAACTCGAGAAAATAAAATTTTTATATAGTTTTATATAGTTTGATGTAGTTTGTGTCAACATTTTGTCTATCCATATTTAAATACTAAGGAGTTACAATTTTTTATTTATAATTTTGTAAAAATAAAATGTGTACTTGCGAAATTGAGATTTTATAAAATGATGGTGTCGCGCGTGCAATTAAAATATGTACTTATATCTTCATTTATAAAAAAAACAATCTTTCCTTTATATGTATATATATTTTTTTTAATTAATTATTTCCTTAATTAAACAAATTGAAGAATAACTAAATGATATAATTAAAGAATAATTAAATAATTTAATTAAATGAATAACATATTGGAAAATAATATTATATATATAATTAAATAAATTAATTTTTTTTTACTCTTTATTAAAGAAATACAATAGAGAGGTTAAACATTCACGGTATAAATAAACTTTATACTGATGATATGCAATTCTACACATACTAATTGTTATTGTGAATTAAATCTATGTTGCGAGTTTGGAATATTTGGACGTCAGTTCTCTTCATATGCAACGACGATAAGTTTCCTGTATTGGTTGCGAGTAGAAGTGAAGTGCCTATCTTGTGATCGTTATAAATTACACGTAATGATGCTAAACTGAAAACGGCACACCCAAACTGAAACTGTGCGGAATGTTGTCACAGATTGCTAAGACGGATGCTTCCTTGAATTATAGCTGCAGTATTCCCTTTAGCTATTTCTTGCAAAGCTAACTGAATTTTAACATATCCATATTCTCTCTCTCTCTCTCTCTCTCTCTCTTCATTTATTGTTGGAATTACCTCTTCTCGCGTGCTACGCATTAATATAAACTCAGATCAAATCTTAATAAATCATGTTATATTCTTACAAATTGCATCTTTTATGACAGAAAAATTACTGTAGAATTATGATCTCTGTGAACTGCGCTTGCCGTCATTCTATCCTATGCGTTTATTGATCTGTTCTATATGATAATTATGAGCAAAATATGTTCCTATCGACTTATTCTTTTTTATGTATTAATGTTTCAGTTCTATTTATTTTTTTGAAAAACATATTGTTTTTTAAAATTTCTTTCTCTCTTTTTACTTTTAAGTATTTAAAATTTTTTATTAAATCAAGTAATTTATTTTGTTAAATATAAATATTTTTTGCTTTGTGAATTCTGAAACAATTAGTTTATTATACAATAAAAATATTAAACACACACATTTTCCTTTCCCTAAATCTTTTCCTAAAATTGTAAATACATACCTTTATAAGAGTTTTTGCATGAAATTTTTTATATAATAAATACATTACAATAAACAGCTTAATTTTGGTAAGTAATATGCTTCTGAAATGAACGGTCAGCGGCTCTAGTAATATTAAGTGACAGCGACATAATTTAAGCGCCACATAAATCCACAAATGTTGCCGGTCGGTGGTCAAAGATGAAGTCGCGAGACTAAGTTTCGCATTCCGTAAGCGGGATGCCAGCGAGCGGCGTGTGGTGCGAGTCACG